ATGCTAAAGATTCAATAATAAATAATTCATAATCATTCCCCAGTTAAACTGAGGAAATAGTCACATAAGTAGATAATTTTAATAATGATGTACAAGTCATATTTTTCCTTTCTGTGTTTTATGATTCTTTGAAATCTTTGAAGGAGCTTTTTGGCAGCCTAAGAGACTGCCTGCCCCCCAACCCACATCAACAAAGCTAGCTACTGCCTAGAGAGTGGAGTGCAATCCTGAGTCCACACTCCCAACGATGTCTTTATCTAACTCTAATGCATTAAGTAGTGTGTCCCCTGCCTGAAATCAACAGAGGGCCAGGTACTAGAAAATAAGGACAATTCTATGCCCTAAAACCCATGGGAATAGCTCAAATCAGCCAGTCCTAAATTGTTCACCTTGCCCTGCCCTGTCTTTCCCATAGACACTTCAATCAAGGCTATAGTCTGGATTTTCCCCCTGGCTCCTGGCTCCTGGCTCCTGATCTACTCTGGTGCTTCCCAGTGTGGCTCTGCATGGCGGGTCATGCCTCGTGTATCCAGGAGAACTGGAGGTAGCCATAAGCTTCTCTCTTGCTGGCATTGGTGTCTCCATGTCATCACTCAGTCTCCTTGTATAAGCCAATACAGTCACAGCATTAAGAGGTAGACAAAGTGCATTATCCCACCATGGCATAGAAGCAATAGGAAATGGGTCAGGGAATTCACTGGAGAACATGTCAATCATTCACAGATGGAAATGCTATAAAATTAATTCTAATGAATGTTACCTTTTGATCTTTTTCAAAAATTAATTCTATTATTGTGATTCTCTTCCTTTATTCATAAATCACATGCATCGATTTCTGTATCGTTTAAGGTAGTGAGAGAATAAGAGTGAATGAGTAATTGAAATTCTTGCACCTTCATAAAGGAAAGCCCCTCTCCTGTAGTACTGCAGACTTTAAGATCATCAAGTCTCTTGGTAGAGTGTGGACTTTCTCTTGTCTCTTGTCTGTCACTCTTTTGCAAGTCAGGAGCTGATGAACAGGGCCACAAGCCCCTAATGGGCAGCCAGGGGACATGGAGTGACCAGAGACCTGAGAGAAGATCCCTAAAGATCATGGACTGGCTGACAGAGGACAGGTGTCATCAAGGCTCTCACGGTGCCAGGGCAAGTCAGTGTACTCATGATCGACATTCTGTAAGTGACCACACTCCAATAAAATCCCAGAATTGCACAACTTCCAGTGAGAAAGAAAGCAGGGTGGATGCCTTAACTGACCATGGACAAAAGACTCTGATGTCCAGCTTAGGGTCCCCTGCTGTCACAAAGTGCATGCCAGCGGTTCATTTTTTAATAATTTGATTGGCACAGACTAGATGTTAGGAGCCAGTTCTCATGGATCAACAAGAAAGAAATGAGAAGCATATAAACATGAATGAAGGAGGAGTGATTGCCTCCCACAGACAGACAGAAGCTGAGGCAACATTCTGTTAAGGAGGCTGCGTCCTTGATTTTAGCCCCAGAATCTTGATTGCTAAATGCAGATAAGATTCATCCAACCCAGAAGACATTGACAGCAACAACAAATTGTGGGAGATGATTAAACTTCTGCTATTTAACTCTACTCAGGTTGCTAATCCATTAACTTAGATACTAATTGCTTCCAAGGGTACTTCAAAAAGTATATGGAGGGCCTGGTGCTCTGGCATGGTAAGCTAAGCCTCCACCTGTGGCGTCAGCATTCCATATGGGCGTCAGCTCGTGTCCCAGCTGCTCCTCTTCCCATCCAGCTCTCCGCTATGGCCTGGGAAAGCAGTAGAAGATGGCCCAAGGCCTTGGGCCCCTGCACCCACATGGGAGACCAGGAAGAAGCTCCTGGCTTCCAATCAGCACAGGTCCTTGCCGCCATCTGGGGAGTGAACCAGCAGATGGAAGACCTTTCTCTCTGTCTCTTCCTCTCTCTGTCTGTAACTCTACCTCTCAAATAAATAATCCTTTAAAAAAAAAAAAAAAGGATATGGCTGCGGCTCACTAGGCTAATCCTCCACCTGTGGCGCCAGCATCCCGGGTTCTAGTCCTGGTCGGGGCGCCGGATTCTGTCCCAGTTGCTCCTCTTCCAGTCCAGCTCTCTGCTGTGGCCCGGGAAGGCAGTAGAGGATGGCCCAAGTGCTTGGGCCCTGCACCCGCATGGGAGACCAGGAGGAGGCACCTGGCTCCTGGCTTCGGATAGGTGCAGCACGCCGGCTGTAGCAGCCATTTCGGGGGTGAACCTACGGAAGGAAGACCTTTCACTCTGTCTCTCTCTCTCACTGTCTAACTGCCTATATAAAAAAAGTAAAGTCTAGTGGTGCAAGAAAACTTTTAGATCCGTGGATAGATTTTTCATAATATACATTTTCCACAAATTTTTGAAGTCCCCTTGTCTGCATGAATTTCTAACTTTAAATAAATATATATATGTATATGTGTGTGTATATGTATGTGTGTGTGTGTGTATATATATATATATATAGGAAAGTCAGAACCATAGAGAGAGAGGGAGAGATAGAGAAAGAGAAGTCCTCCATCCTTTAGTGACTTAAATGACCACAGCAGAGCCAGGCCAAAGCCAGGATCCAAGAGCTTCCTCTGGGTCTCTTACGTGAATGTCAGGGGCCCAAGCACTGGGCCATCCTCCGCTCCTCCTCCCAGGCCACCAGCAGGGAGTTGGATTGGAAGCAAAGCAGTGAGGCATGAATGGTTGCCATCATGGGCGGTGGCTCCAGCTACACCCCAACTCCCCTACTGTCCTGCAACCTTTTTGTTTACTCCCAAATAAGGTTGTCTTTTAGGTCCATTTCCACAAACCTTTTGAAGTACCCTTGTGTAACAGACTACAGAGGTCTACCCTGGGGTTCTGCAGTGACTCCAGCCAACAGGCAGGTGGTTTGTCCGTCTAGATCCTCTTCTCATCTTGCACTACTCTGAAGTCTGCTCAGTGTCTTCTGGTGCTCTGCTCATCTTGGCTCACTCCAGTCTCTGCTGTTGCAATGCATTGAATGCAGAAAATTCTCAGATTGCAACATTATCCAAAGTTCACTTTCTAGGACCAACTCTGGAGACACTGTAATGAGGTTTGATTCTGCCAATGCCTGGCTGCTTATTGACCTCGATGGGTTTTTCCCGCTTATTTCAATAGTCCTAGGGTTCAGAGAATCCCCACCACTTCCCGTCATGCAGGAGCTACTTATTTTTCAATGGGAAAATCACCACAAAATAAAACAGAAACAAGGACTCCATAATCCTTCATGCGTTGCATTGTAAAAGTTTCACTGGCTCTGGTCAAGGTGTTAACCACATCATTTCAATACCAAGAGGTCTGCTCTAAAGATACATTCTTTAGCCCTCAGCAACACCACAGTAGGTCGGTGATTGGTAGAGTGCTGGAAGAAGTGACTTTAGGACTGGCTTCTATGCTCTGACCACCAGCCTTGCATCCCACAGCGCTGGTGCTGAGTTTGAGCACAGGGTAGAGCATGAGAAGGAAATTGCTTGTTGTAGCTGCTGGCTTCATGCCAATTAGAAAAAAGCCCACATCCCAGGAGAATGAACCACTAAGAGATGCCCTCCCCCGTGTGGGCCACCTGGAGAAAGGAGCCCTCCACGCACCCGTTGTGAAAGGCAGCAGTTTCTTCCAAGGCACAGGGGTTAGCCAGTGGGGCCTGGGCAAGTGCTCAGTCTCCAGTCACCACTCCAGTCCTGTCGGTGGCCATGCGTGCCCATCAATCAGGGCAACTCCAGAAGGACGCCTTGGAGCATCCCGGGCTCTGTGACTCAGTTTCCTCAGCCAGGCTACTTAGTACCAGCTGGAAAGAGGAGCTGCTGCCTTGTGGATGACAGCCCTCCCACTACAGCCCTGCAGCTGAAGCTGAGGTCCCTGAAGTGTCTTAGGGCCGTGGGCCTTAGGGCCGTGAGATAGCATCAGACTTGGGTCTTCTTCCCACACTTCCCCAGCAATCATTATTCTCCTTCCCCGGCCGACTTTTCTCTGTAGCACTTCGCCACTGACGTTGTCCATGTCCTTTTTCATCTCCCTATTGGCGTTTTACCCCAAGCTCCACAAGGGTAGGTGTCTTCACTGCTGGACCCCGAGTGCCCAGAATAGCTCCTGGCACACAGTGCAGGCTCCTTCAACAACGTTTTCTTAATGTTTGAACTACTCAAACATCAGAGGCCTTTCTCCTGTACCAATCTATTTCCACAAAAAAACCCTTGGCAGATACATAATACTTTGAGGGATTCTAGAGAAAAGAACCTCATATAGTCTTTCATGCTAAAATCCATGTCCACTTCAAAGAGAGACATCCCAGGCTAAGAAACCAATATGTTTTCTATTTACTGAGACCAATTCTTGCCTTTTAACACTGATTTATTGATGGCTGATTTCCTTGATGATTAAAACAAAATTATCCACTCCTCTGAGGCTCCCCTGTGCAGATCTTCCATAGTGCAGATCTGATAAAGTTTCCATGCAGTTGTGTTGAGAGCTTACCAAACAGATAAACTCTTCCAAATGAAATTCTTATTTTGGGTGACTTAAATTTGGCATGCCAAATAGCAGGTTTCCTATCTTAAAGTTGCAATTAAGTTTTTGCTTGGCTTCTACAAGTAATCAAGCGCTGCCCGTTTTACATAATCTTTCTCTGGGTTTATTAAAAGTTCACTGTTTGCAGGACACCATACTCTATCCTATTGTTGGATGAACAATGGGAGCATTTAGAGATGTTCTCTGCCCTCCTGGAATTCACATGATGAATGGAAGAAGGCACAGTTATGCTACTCCGGTGTCTCCAACAATAACTGCTGACTTTATTTGTAGTCAGAGAATCCTGGCAACCAGCAACCGGTTTTTTCCCTGGATTTACGAGAACTGCACTGAATTGGAAACTGTTATTTGCTTTAACGAAACAATTTACTCTTGTGCAACATTAAATTGTGTCAATCAAGCAAATAACGGAAGAAAGTCTTGCTTATAAATCTGCCTGCTTCTGATTTTACTTCATTGCTTCTCAGGCTCTCTCTCCAAGAAGGTGGAAAAATGAAGCTTTTGATGTTTGGGGCTTTTTTGTGTTTATGTAATACCCAAGCCCAGGCAGAAGAGAAGCATTATTATATTGGAATTTCTGAAATAGCTTGGAACTACGCCTCCGACCAGGAGGGAAAGACACTTATTTCAGTGGACACGTAAGTCACTGTTTTTATTGCTTACAGGCCAATTTCATAAATTTTCAATTTAAAAATAAAGCCAATAAAGTGAAATAATTATTTGATTTGTTTTATGTAGAAACTGCAAAACGTGGAGTTGAAAGTACAGACACTTTACCCAGTCTCCCCTCTGTCCTGGGGTGCTTATCATTTGAGAGGCTGCTCCTTCTGGTCTCACTGCCTCTCCCATCAGCATTCTCTTTGTGTTTGTTTATGCAGAGGTTCTTTAAGCAATGACTAGTGACTATGTAAAATGCTATGCCTGCCTATTACACCATTGACTGCTTATTCATGGTGAGGATACAATATTTTTTTAATCCTTCAAAATATCATTCATAGAAATAAAGTATAACTTGTATAAATATGATTCTGCCTAATATTTGTTGGATGCCTCTGGACATAATTGAGCTAATCTTTCATCACTTCGGAGTGCTAATCTGTCAAATGTGGATAATTAGCTTACTTTATAGGTTTGCTTAAAGATTGGTTGCAGTAAAACTCTTAGCACAGTGCTTGGAGAGCATCAAATATGCACAGAAATGTCACTGATTACGATGGCCCCCAAACTCCATATAACTTAAATATTTTCATGCTTCAGTTGAAAGCTCCTTATTTCAAGCAATATTCACTATAAAAACCCAAAAACATAGTTGTCCTTCAGGATTTTTATTATGGAAGTTTATCTACATTGGGATCATCACTTATAAAAATGTTCATTAAACATTTACTGCCAAATGGAAATTTGGTTTTAGAAACAGCAGTCACTACATTAACAAATGTATTTTAACAATGAGTTCAATGACTATCAGCTGCTAAGACTGTACCTTTAAAACACAGCTATGTAAATATTCCAATTTTATAAATACTGACTCTCGTTGATGGGTATATATTATTCTTTTAAATTTTATGTATGGTTGAAATTCCTCACAATATAAAAGTAATACATAGTTGATAATAATAATTATTGTTATTAATTTAGTAATGCATAGTAAGGAAAATTTATGACATAAAGGTAAAAATTAACTTGACATTGGCTTTTTTCTAGCAAAGTTTTGAGACAGTATTCTCTTCTTTGGAATATGATGTATGTTTTACAGCTTCACCAGAAGGATTATTATGTATGAATTCAGTACTTTCCTTGTTAAATATAATGTAAATTACGCATGTTTTTTAAGGAAAAAGTCAGATACATTAAAGGTTAGGAAAAGAGTTTACCTCTCTGATATTAATGCTATGGATGAAAATAAACAGCCTCTGTTAAAAGGTAAATGTAAGGGTTTATTCAGAGCGGAATACGAGTGACCTAGGTCTGGGAGATACAAGCCCAGTGACTTTTCATGAGACTTGGGAAGCATTCCAAAGTCGTCCCATTTTAGAAATTCCATGACAGTAAATTTTCATTCATGAATATACAGTAAACATACATTGGCCTGACTGAAAAAGATGGGTTTTAGGTCAATGAGGGTGTCTTTCTCACAGGTTACAGATCAATTTTTTTAGGACATAATTGGTTACAACAGAGTGTGCCGAAAAGGCTACTGATTAATTTTAAGGAGGACATTTCTGGGAATAGATAAGGAATTTATAAAAAACAAGAGATTGCACAAGGTTACTCCAGAGGGCTAAGATGAAGTAGAACTTACGTGCACATCACAAAGTCAAATTGACCTGTTGGTCTAATAGCTCTGTCCGGACACTCCTCAGATAGTGAGAATTTCTCTTGAAAGCTTTTCAGGCTTTTAGGGGCAGTTTGTTCTCAGAGCTGATAATACTGACTTTGAAGAGGATGAGGTGAAAAGTAACTTCCTTATATTGTACTCACACCTGCCATTTACTTGGGTCAGTGCCTCATCTGTCATTTCAATAAGTCAATAATAAAGAGTATATGATAAAGTTAAATTAAAGATGAATCTTAATAAAGAATGGGATGGTAGAGGGAGTAGGAGATGGGACAGGAGTGGGGGTGAGAGAGTGGGTATGGGGGGAAGAACCATTATATTCCTAAAATTCACATTCATTAAATAAAGGCTTTTTAAAAAAAAGAGTATGTGAGATAGTTCCTGATCCTGTTATTTGTGTTTAAATAAGAATTATATATATATATATATATAAATTGGTACCCACAATAGAATACTCTGCGTCCTTAATATTGATAAGTTTAATATTTATTGAATTAATAACAAACATAGTAATACTGTTATCTTCAGGTTACTTTTTTTTGTGTTCAGTGACCCCTAGGAAGCTGGAAGTAAGGAGAAAATTCTTTAAGCACAAGAGAATCATCATAAGACCTTTTCACAGTTGACCTCATGAGTTCTCACTCAAGCATGTTGACTTTCTTATTTTTAAAATTTTTTATTTAAGGTATTCAAATTTCATGTATTTCTATATACAAAATCAGGAATATAGTGATACTTCCTACCCTACCCTCCCTCCCACCCATGCCTCTACTCTTCTTCCTCCTCCCTCTCTTATTTCCACTTTTAATTTTTACAATGATCTATTTTCAGTTTATTCCATATTCATACACTCATAAGGTTAACCCTACACTAAGTAAAGAGTTCAACAAATAGTATAAAGGAAAAAAAAAAACTAAACTACTGTTGAGACTAGGGTTGTAAACAATTATCAAACATACAGTTCTTATAAACCTTTTTACCTAGTTTTCCAGATCATTGTAGGTTTAAGAAACAACTGATATAATGAAGATATCATTATAAGCAGCCCTAATGACTAAGAAGAAACAGTATCTCAAATCCTGATCTAAGAAATAAGCAACAAACTAAGATAATTACACCCATTAATAAAATTATTGTTATGATTTTGAGCAATCAGGATGCATTAAGTATGCAATAAATGTTCATCTTCATGGAACTCAAAAAGTAATTTTTCCCCATTATATCATGTCCCCTGTTTAAGAAGTTAGGAAAGAAAACAAAATATTTTTAGAGAAAAAATTTGCATTGAAAGTGTCCATTTTATCCCTGCTAAAAGATAAACTTATGTGGTCAATGCTATAGCATAGTGGGTTAAGACTTCACTTGTGGTGCAGCATCCCATATGAGCACCAGTTCAAGGCCTGGCTGCTCCACTTCCTATCCAGCTCCCTGCTAATGTACCTGGAAAAGCAGCAGAGGATGACCCAAGTGATTGGGCTCCTGCACCCACATGGGGGACCCAAAGAAGCTCTTGGCTCCTGGTTTCTGATCTGCCCAACTCCAGCCCTTGCAGTCATTTGGGGAGTGAACTAACAAATGGAAGACTCTCTCTCTGTCCAAGACACTGCCTCTCAAATACATAGATAAATATTTAAAAAAAGAAAGATAAACTTAGGCACATTAAAATTCTAACAGGATTGTGTGAGCTGTTAGCCATTTATAAATCAAGTAGCACCAGACCACAAGCAGTTCACTGGTGAGTGGGGTTCAAGAAAGGAACCTTCTAGAAGGTGTTTGGTGGAAGTAAGAGTAAGAAAAAAATTAGATTATAAAGTGGAAAGTCTCCAGTAAGAGGTCAAGCGGCGATCACTGTTAAACTTTCTAATTAGAGTCTAGTTCGTGGTTTCTGATTAGTTAAGCTGAAGTTTCATTCTACTGTTTGCTTAAATTGGGTTTGGGTTCGCTTGTATAGGACCCCCAAGGTACTGAAGGCATCTCAGTATGACAGTCTCCCAATTAATTATTTAACAACCCTTCAAAAATGATTTTAAAAATGTTCAGTGATTCTTGGCTGGCACTGTGGCTCACTAGGCTAATCCTCTGCCTTGCGGCGCTGGCACACCGGGTTCTAGTCCCGGTCGGGGCGCCGGATTCTGTCCCGGTTGCCCCTCTTCCAGGCCAGCTCTCTGCTGTGGCCAGGGAGTGCAGTGGAGGATGGCCCAAGTGCTTGGGCCCTGCACCCCATGGGAGACCAGGAGAAGCACCTGCAGCGCGCCGGCCGCAACACGCCGGCTGTAGTGGCCACTTGGGGGGTGAACCAATGGAAAAGGAAGACCTTTCTCTCTGTCTCTCTCTCTCTGTCCACTCTGCCTGTCAAAAAAAAAATGTTCAGTGATTCTTAAAGAGATGCAATTATTAGCTAAAATTTTCTGGAAAATTCACTGATAGTAATTCATTCTCTAAGATTACCAAGTAAGCAATAACGGCATGGGATGAACACATCATCCAGGAGACTGTGTACGAAGGGTCTAACTCAGCAGCTGTAACACTGCACAGGCTTCCAGATCTGCAGTGTTGGGTCTCTCTCTCCTGAGAACAGTCGGAAGAAAGTTGACCATTACGTTAGGTACTCATGCCGTTCCAGGGAAATGAAGCTAGCAAGAGCCTACGATTCACTTCCGTCTGTGAAAGGCACACCTAGGCTGAGCGTCTGCCAATGTCTTTCCTGTTTTCCTTATGATTCCATCCTGTGGTGACAGGGTTTTTAAAGAGGCCTCCAAAAGATGCCCAAAGCGCCAGCCCCTGGGGACAGGATGTTCCCACTCCCTGGTTTTACGCTTTGGAACCTAGGAGAAGCTCCAGGCAGCTGAGGGTGTCAGAGCTGCAGGCGATTCCACCCATTGCTGATGACTGAAACAGGTCCCTTGACAAAGCTTGGGAGTGGCCTGAAGGAACTGAGAGAGGCCACTGACAGTCAGCAAACAACAGGGATTTCAACCCTGCGACCTCAGTAAACTGAATTCTGCCAATAGCCTGAATGAACGAGGAAGTGGGTTTTTCCACAGAGCCTTGGACAAGCAATCAGCCCAACCGCCTCTTGATTTCAACACCATGATGCTCTGAGTGGAGCACACCGTCATGCCGTGCCAGACTCCCGACCCATACAACCACCAAATTGAAAATGGAGACGCTTTTAAGCCACTGTGTGGTCATTTGTTACACAGCGACAAAAACAATGTCTAGATTAATGAGGTCAAAAATCTAAGAAACTTTTCACCCTCAAATCTCAAGCTTTAGTAACCACATGTAAACATAAGCCAA